CTAGAACTCACTATGTAGACCAGGCTGACCTTCAACACACAGTGATCCACCGGCCTCTGCTTCCCACATGCTGGGACTAAAGGAGTGCGCCACCACGCCCTGCATGAAAAAAATTTTTTAATATATAAAGACAGTATTAGGTTAACAAAATGAGCTAACAACCTTTAAAAAGTATTTTAAAGTTCACTTCTTTATAAAATATTGCTCCATCAAAAGTGGAACATGGGCAGGTGAGGTGGCTCAGTAAAGGTACCAACTGCCAAATCTGATGATCTCAGCTCAGTCCCCAGAACCCAATGATGGAAAGAGAGCACCAACTCCTGTAAACTGTCTTCTGACTTCCACACATGTGCATGGCATGCACACCTGCACAAACACGTACACAGAGAAATGCATGTAATACTTTTTAATACAAAGGCATTATAATAACCAGATGAACTAATGACCTTTAAAGGTATTTTAAATTTCACTTCTTTGTAGAAGGCTGCCCAGCTGAAAAATGCCACATGGCAGATGACCCAACCAGTAAAGTCATCTGCCACCAATCTTGAGCTCCATCCCTAAGAATTATACAATAGAAGGAGAGAACCAGTCCCACAAGCTGCCCTCTGACCTCCACACATGCATCATGGCATACACCCCACACATACTAAATAAATAAATGCAATTGCAAAAATTTGAATTTTGTACAGCATACAAAAAACTTACTTAAAAAAAACTCTCAAGAGTAATCTCAGATATCTGGTTTGTATATAAAAATATAGACTTGAAATTAGTCTTAAAATGTAACAAACAGTTTTTAAAAGTGATGAGCACCTGCTTAGAAGTACAAAGCCCCGCGCTCAGTCCCTAGCACTGCAATCAATCAATCAACCCATCAATAAATAAAATAAATAAATTTCCCCCTACTAAAATTTGGGGAAAATAAATGGTTTTGTTTCATTTTACAATCTATATAAATTTTGATCATGATACAATTGCAAAAATTTCAGAAATACCATTCCATTTCAAAGATCTAATGCCAAAGAAGGGTGAAAAAAATTAAAGAGGCTATCGGCAGCTTCCTCCTTTGTTACTGAATTTTATGAAGTGAACCCAGAAAGAGTTTCTAAATGACACGGTTCTCCAACAAAGAAGAGAGACAAGAAAGACCAGGGCTGTACTTGCTCAGCATGGATTCACTATCGGTGCTAAGGAAAGAAGGGGAATTGAGGGCACTGACATCCTGCCTAAGGTCAAAGCATCCTTGATGGGGCGAGTGATGTAAGAGTTCAAACCTGTCCTTTCTCCTGTGGACACTACCCTACAAAATGGAAATACTGTCATTCAAATTCTTGCCACCTCCAGGGTAAATGCTAAGATTTGCCTCACGGTAGTCTCAGTAGATGATGCTAATACATTTCCTTCTAACCAAACTCATTGTAAGATGGGCCTTGTGGTTAAAGGATAAGCTTGACTGAAAGTCACCAGAGGTGCCCTTATGTGGAAGGCACCTGACATGGGGTTTACAACCAGGTCAAAAAAAATGCATAGGCTGGGGCTGGAGAGATGGCTCAGGGGTTAAGAGTACTGACTGCTCTTGCAGAGGACCCAGGTTCAATTCCCAGCACCCACATGGCAACTAACTACCATCCATAACTCCAGTTCCAGGGGATCCAACCCTTATTCTGACCTCCTCAGGTATTGCATGACAAGGGTGCATTTACATATATGTAAATAAAACACTGGTGCACATATAATTTAAATAATAATAAAATATTAAAAATTAGTTTAAAGTGTACAGCTTACATTTATTCAGCTGTTCAGAAGCTGCTTCAAGACCTAGTCATCTCAACATGAAAATCAATAACCTCTTTGTTAAAGGCAGCTGATTAGCACCCCTGAGGCTGAGGTTCAGTGGGGTGAGGGGAAGATGATGCTGCATCAGTCTAAATATATATGGAAACTCTGACTTGTTTGGTTTTGCTATTTAGCTCTGACTGGCCTGGAACCGGCAGAGATCCACCTGTCTCTGCCTCTGGAGCATTGAGTCCTGGGATTAAAGGCATGCACCACTATGCCCTGCTTAAACTGTGACTTTCTCCACATAAGGCTTTAAAACAAAAGTACCTGTCCTTTACTTACTGTGTTTGCCTTAATCGTCTTTCACTAATAAAAGTCAATATAATTGCTATATTCCATTTGGTTTTAACTATGTCTAATGTTGTCAAGAGCAAAAATCTTCCTGGTAAAGCAGTTCCATTATTTCGTTAATTGATAATGTACAATCTGAAAAGATGGAAGATACATCTGTGGACACGAGTTACACAGAGGCCACATACTCAGAGGCAGGGAGGTGAGAATTGGGAGCCAGAGTGAAAGAAAAGCCCTTCTAGTAAAATGATAGACTGTCTCCACGCGCATAGCATTTATAAATTACAATAGATAATGAGACTTCCAGGATAGATTTGATACACAGAACAGCACTAAACACATGACAAAGGATCCCATTATCTGTGGCATACAGAAAACAACTGACCTAGCACAAGTCAGCTTCACCATCCCAAAGAGGAAAAAAAAATACTCTCCAGGCTTTCAGAATACTGACTTGCCAAGTATTCTTTTCCTAATTTCTCTTTCTCCTCCTCCTCTTCCCCCTCCTCCTCTCCTCCTCCTCCTCCTCCCCTTCCTCTTCTTCCTCCTATTCCTCCTCTCCCTACTCCTGCCAGGTGTAGTGGCACATCCCTTTAATCCCAGCACTCAGGAGGCAGAGGCAGGCAGATCTCTGTGAGTCCAAGATCAGCTTGGTCCACATAGCAAGTTCCAGGCTAGCTGGGACTGCCTTCCTCTCCTCCTCCTCCCCCTCTCCTCCTCTTCCTCTCTTCCTCCTCCTCCCCCTCCTCTCCTCTCCTGTCCTCCTTCTCCTCCTCTTCATCCTCCCCCCCACTCTCCGAAATAGTACTCTGAGGCAGTTCAGAATCTAGTTGGGAAATGTATGTAAGAAAAATTGTATTTGGGAAGATTCCTCCACCTGCAGGGACAGCTCCTTGGGAGGGACAGGAGGGAGCTAACCTGTTAATAAGTCTCCGATTTGTAATTAAGGCTTGCTTTGAAATAGCCCTCCTCCAAACAGGCCATTGTTTTTAGAGATCCATGATTAATTTCTACAAAATGAAAAGTGTTTCTAAAATGCTCTCTTAATATTGTACTCAAACTTTGGGAATACTGGAGTCAAAAGCACAGTCATGAATTAACACTCGGAAACGGTGGGCTGCTGATCAAGGAAGGCCAAGCTGTGTGTATGCTCCAATATGCAAGTCTCTAAGTATGCGCTAAACCTAAACCCCATGAAATTTATTTTAAAAATAACCTTGATTGAGCATGGCAGGAGGCAGAGTAGAGTTGTTTCTGCTTAGACTGAAAAGTACTTTCCATCCAGGATGCCTGGACCAGCATCCTACTCAGCTGTGACTTTCTGAACCTTCCCCTCCAGCTAACATAAACCCTCAAAACCAAACACTGTCCGTTTCTTCTCTTCCTTCCCTAATCCATGATCAGGGAAAGCACAAAACACTAAATTCATGCTTTCATGGAAGAACTCGTTCATCTTCTGTCACTTTTGGGAAGTCTGTAAGACAGATCAGGGCGTTTATGTGTACAATTTCTTGTCCATAAATGTATCTCAGATCAAGACTACCAATCCAATGTCCATAACTCCCTGATATAAAGAGAGGACAAAGCTCAAACCCATTCTTAGAACTTGGGACTGTGTTTGCCAGCAACCAGGGGTGTCTGAAGCCTCAACACAGAGACGGTAGAGACAGAAGGATCAGGAGTTCAAGGCCGGCCTCCTGCTACATAGCTAGTTCAAGATCAGTCTTGTCTAATCTCTAAACAAACAACAAATAACTAAGATCTGCCAGTCCCAGAGGACCGGCTCCCTAAACAGGCTGGGTCCTAGGGCCTCTGGATCCCTTGCCTGTCTTTGGCTAAGGGAAGAGGTCTTGTCCTCAGCTCCTCTACTTAGTTCAAGTGCTACCCTGGGTATGAAGTTGTGTGGGCCATGGTGCCTTGAGAATTCCTAGTCTTTCCCTTCAAATCTCCTGAGTTCTTGGAGAATTGTCACTAACTTCCCTTCCAGGCGGATTGCCTGCTCAGCGGCGGAATTTCAGGACCTTGTGTACCTACCCCTCAGATTGCTCTGTGTCAGCTCAGCGCTTTCCAGAGCACAGGAAGGACGCCAACCGCACCCCACCCTCAGCCTATACCTTGGCTACCCCAGTCCTCCCCACCGTCACCCCACGCGTTCCCACTGAAACCCTTAAGCAGTATTCCCACACCTGGAGCTCTGGTACACAGGGTACAGGCCAGCAAGACGGCGCGGGTGGCAGCTGGGGCGAGCCCTTTAAGATTTTCTAGGAGAGCCATAGCCTGGAACCCCGTTTCTCAGAGGCAACCCCACGCTGGCACCCACGGCCACAGCTTCTGCCTCTGAGCTCACTAAGGTCCCCACCGGAGGTTACCTGGGGTCCCAGTGTGCGGCTGGAACCAGGCGGTCCCTGGGGTCCCATTTCACGTTTGTGTTTGCTAAGTCAAGTATTCTAAATAACTAGAACACCCCCCTTAAAAAAAAAAAAAAAAACAAAACAAAAACCCTCTGCTCTCCCTCTGCAACAAAGACGCCCGGGGTCAGCATCGCCAGCCCAGTTTCTGAGCTTTGAGAGGAGTTCGAATCGCACCGGTAGCCCACCTGGGACCAGGACACCTCCGCGCAGAGAAGCCGGAAGGCAATTCTTAATTCAGACATCACAGGCGGCGACCCAGAACCCACAAACTGAGTCTCGAGGAGTCCCTCAAAAATCCTTTTCGCCCTTCACCCCTCCAGACTGAACTTGAACTTGCACCTGCGCTGCACCGCTCCACGGTCACCTGCGCTCTACCGTGGTCCGGGGAGCGACCTTGGGCGGATGCACCGGGTCCGCATGCCCAGCCCCATCCAATTGCACCCGCGGGTGTCTCACCCAGAGGGTCAGCAACAGCTGCGTGCGCAGCGCCCAGCACGGCGGACTCCGGGACCCGGCGATGGCCATCGCGCGGGGACAGCGGCTGGAGGACGCGGGAGCTGGGCGCCGAAGCCGAGAGGCGCGGGAGGTGCGTTTCTCGCCGCAGCTTGTCTGGAAGTCTCTCTGGCCTCGTTCTGGCTTCTCTGCCCGGAGCAAGTTCTCTCCTCACAAGGGATTGGATGGAGGAGACGCCGGGCGGCCCCTCCTAGTTATTTCTCAAGTTTTATCACCGCCGGGGCCGTCTGGGAGCTGCCCGAGCCTGCCCTGCGCTCACTGCGGCCGCCAGGGAGCTCACTCCCCAGGAAAGCGGTCTCGGGTCCACCCTGGGCCGGCTCTCCCACGCCCCTTGTGTGCCCCGCGGGGCTGCCGCCCAACCTTCCCGTGTCCCATCGCTGACGCTGCGCCCTGCATCCCCACTACCAACCAAGGCCCGCCTGCCTGACTCTGGGTGCCAGGAACACCCTAGTGATTGGATCAACGGATCCTCCCTTCCACGGAGAGCAAAATCTGGGCTAAGCCTTCAGGTTGAAACAAAACACAGCAGTTCTCCGAACCTCAGTAACCTGATAAAATAAACCACGAGAGAAAAAGTATATGGAAAGCAAGGATTAAAACCAAAGAAAAGAAACCCTAACCTCACCATTTAACCACACCCCAAAAAGTGAATGACTTCCTTAGACGCTTTAATTACTGTCAATTTGTCAAATTTTATAGCTTTCTAAGGTGGAGGGAGGAGGGGATCCACTTGTTCTAGGATATTCAATTATCCTTCAAGTGGTGAGTCTGTTTTGTTTGTTTGGGGGGTTTTTGTAATTATACTAAGATGAAAATTTTCAGATATGCTCACAGGAAAGTCTCCCAGGCAAAACCTGCTCTAAAAGAGGGTTTGCAACTTAGGTGTAGGCCAACAAACATTGGGTTCCAAAGGTAACCAACATTACCCTAAGGGCAAGTGAAGGGAACTTCAGGGACCTGAACTGCTCAAAGCAGTTCAAACGTGTGGGAGAGGAAGAACTGTGATTACCATAGCCCATTGGGTGTCACAGGGGGACATACTCCTAAGGCTAGTGACAGTGGGAGGCATACTCCTTTACAGCACTCCAAACTGAATTCTTTGCCTTCTCTGGCAACCCTGGTTGAATTCTGAAGATTGTCATTGCTCCTCAAAGTCCATTCAAAAGTTCAAAGTCAGAACCCCAGGTCAGTTCACAGTATTCAGGAAAGAGTGTGTTGGTCTTCCTTCATCCGGCCCTAGCCACCTCTGAGAACATCCTTATCCAAGAAGGTGCTCCCCAAAATCTGAGACTTCCTTGAGCTCTCAAGATCCAGACACCTCTAGGTTCAGCTTCCCTGTCTTGTTTCTGCAGCCCCAGAGACACCCACCAGTGGAAGCCTGTGTGGAAGACCCTTTTGGTCTCAGAGCCAGTGCTCCAAATTCCTCTTCACAGACCTCCAAACTCCTCCATGTTGAGATTTTCATCACCTGTCTTCTCCAAGTCTCCTTTGCCTCAGACAAAGTTATGCAATATGCTCTATCCCTAGTTGCCATCCCTAGTCGATCTTTGGATCCATAGTGGAAGTGGATGGAGGAAGGGACAGGCAGAGCTGAGTCCCATGGTCTCCCCCTCAAGATTCCTTGTCAGGTATAAGGGCTGGAGTTAGATGAAGCGCTGAGGTGTTAAACTTTAAAGTATGGCCTCTAACTCTGAAGAAACAAAGATCTGTGAGATAAGAACAGAAGCTGGTCTAATCCCAGCGGAGGCAGAGGCAGAGGCAGGTGAAGTTCTGTGAGCCCTAAGAGATACGCAGTAAGTTCAGGGTAAAGGGGAGGGCAAGAAGAAGGTTCCACTAACGGCAACAGCAGCAGGGTGTGAGAAGCGCTGGAGAGACAAGGCCACTTCTCACATGATGGAGGCAGAAGTAGCTGATGGTTCAGAACAGCTGGGTGGAAACACCTGTGGCTGAGAATCTGGCTAGGATGACTGGCCAGACTAGAGCCAGGGCTCCTCCTGGAAGAAACAGAGAACAAGCCATTCACCAAGAGAAAGGATTGCAGGATTGCTAAAGGCTGTTACAGATTGGTCAGGTACGTTATCCATGAAACTATGCCTTTATATGGCTTTTCCTTAATGTTGATGGAATCTGTGTGTGTGTAGACACACACACACACACACAGACTGTGTGTATGTGAGAGAAAGAGTTTTACTCATCCTCTTTCTAAATACTCCTAAATTTTAACGACTTCAGTTGCACCTTCAGATTAACCAAAGTTTGACTTGCTTTGGCTGTCTTCCAAGGGACTGCAACTACAAAATAACTATCCTTTAGTTGTTTGGGGAGTATGGATAAATCTACTGGCAGGACAGTTTACCTACAAAATGACAATTGTCAAACTCTACTCCATGAACACTGTAAAAAAGCATGTGAGTGATATTTCCAATTTGCATTGCAAAATTCTAGGTGCAATATCTTAAATAATAACTGAATGCGGTATTAGTAACTGGCTTGGAATTTCCTGTTTTGTTATAGCATGTTCATCTCCATCATGAGTCTATTAGTCTAAGTTCTGTGATAAAGCAGTGTATGCTTATAATTTGGAAAAAAATCTTTATACACTTTTAATGGCAAAGTGGCTTGGGGATAAATTTAATCATATATACTTTCGCATATATTTTATAATTTAAAATGAATTCTGAAATTTTATTTAAAATATGACATTGGGTTTGAACATACTTAGAATTGGATGCCATGTAAAATAAAATTAACTTCAGATCATCAAGAAGCACACACCACTATTCTGACATGTTGATTTTAATCGCCTGCCCCTCAAAATAGAAAGTCACTTGAAAATCACTAATGAAACAATGATGGACCAAAAATGAGAAAATAAGTTATTTTCCTGTTATGGTTTTAGATAGAAAGATAAGAACAATAGTAAGGAAGAATCAGTAATGGGAAGAGGTTTGAGATGAAAATGCACCCCTCAGGAGTCGGGGTGAACTGCAGTATTTTCAACTGGATGTGGTGACTCATGCCTATGTTCCCAGCACTGAGGAAGTAGTGACAGGACCATTGTGACTTTGAGGCAAGCCTGGGCTATAAAGTGAGTTGCAAACCAACATGGGCTACTTAGCAAGATCCTATCTTCAAGTCAAAAGGCATAACATGTAAATGAGAAAGGGGGAAAAGAAGAGCAGGTAGGAGAGTCAGGGGAGGGGGAGAACAGCGTCTCTACCTGGGAGAAATCTCTGGCCATCATAGGAGGTGGGTGCTGACCCCTGGCCCACTGGTCCAGCCTGCCTTATGCAACTTAGCACCAACCTGTCTAGCACACCTACTCACCTCTATCTGTGGTCAGAGATGTAGCAAGTGTGGGTCTCCTCAAACACTTTCATAACACTATGCCAGGACAACCTTGTGCTGTCTGAAAATACTGCCAGCGAGAGAGTGAAATACAATGAAAAGAGCTTCAATTAAGACCAAGTAGAAGATGGGTTCAAAGGGTCCTTCTAGAGACACAAGATAGTGAATCCCGCCATAGAACCTTAGCTCACAACCACTTTCAAAATACTATTTAGGATAAAAAACACAGTGTGACTAGAGGCTCTCTGAAAATTTCCCATCATACTACTGAAAATAACCTTGACTTTGTGCGCATTTCAAAAGACTGCTGGAGGCTGGGGGGTTGAAGGAAACTTTAAGTCAAGAGTAATTTCTATGCTTATATTGCTGTCTCATGGAGGAACCACCCAAAGGTCCCTGTCTGTCTCTACTTTCTTAATTTCTCATGGTAGGCACTCCCTCAGAAATGTTCCAGGTAGCAAAGAGAAACTTAAGTCTAAGCCAAAATGACCCATTGATCCTCAAGAAACCTTCATCCTGCCCTATCATGGGTCCCCTCAAATCCTCATTTTGCATCCTAGAATTAATTTCTCCCCACAACAATTGATGGTCCGTTGCTATCCATAGAAAGCTCTTCTCTTTACAGGAGTGGCCTCTCACTACAGCATCAGCAATGATCACACAAAGTCTGACACTTATTCACTGCTCAGATGCACCATCATGCAGTCTCAGTAACCGTGATGGAAGTCCAATTCACACAGGGTGTGCCAAGCTCGAAAGGCTCCCTGTCAGTCTCCCTTTATTAATGAATGAGTCAAGAACTGCCCCAGTGCTTTTCCCTCCCTCCATGGAAGTCTGGAGGCTCCTTTACAAACATTCTCTTCTTCAAACAGTCCTTCTCAGGAGGCAGAGCAGTGACCTGGGAGACTTATCACTGTCTGGCAGAGATGATAATTTCAACCCAGAAAACAAAGCACCATTGTGTGAATGATGATGCCTTATAGACATGAACAAAAGCATCATGAGGAAGCTCTGATCCAGAGGGAATTGTTATTTTTATTATGGGGAGGGTGTGAGTGTGCTTGTAAGTGTGCATGGTGGAGGCCCCAGGTGGATGTTGAGTACCCTGCTCTATCACTCCTGTTTTACCCTTAAGACAGGCTCTCTCACAGAACGTGGAACTAGGCTAGTGGCCAGCAAGCCCCAGCAATCCTACACACACACACACACACACACACACACACACACACACACACACACACCAGTGCCTTTGGGTACTTGTGACCACACCCTGCTTATTATCTGATTACTGGGAATTTGAACTCAGGTCCTCAAATTTGCCCAGCAAGTGTTCTTACTGGCTGTGCCATCTCTCCAGCCCTCAGAGTGAATTTATAATCCAATTTGGAGTGCCCTATAAATCTTCAACTAGATTTCCTTCAGAGAAAAAAATTTCCTGTTGATGTGTGAAGCTCTCGTTTTCCCTGGATCTTTTGCTGTCACCAAAAGCTCACTGTGAGCCTCAGTCGGTACAAAGGGTATTGACCAAGCATGGGTTACAGGTGAGAGTGGGCCAGCTTCCAGATCGCTTGTGTCATCCCTGAATCACTGCCCATCAGCCTTCTCTCTTCCCAGAAGTTAGGGACCATCCCTCAGCATCAGCCTAGGGAATTGGAGCATCTCCAGCTCAGAGGCCTATCACCTAGTTCAGGAGTGGTAAAGGAGCTTTTCCAGCCAGCTCCCTATGGGAAGAACATGAATTAGGGATTTAACATCCATTTACTCTTTGCTTCAGTAATAATTATGCATCAACTTTGTTTACCTCTAATTTTTAAATCTTTTTAATGTGCTGTTTAATGTGGGTTTTGTTTTGTTTTTCTGAGATGAGTCTTGCTACGTAGCCTTCCCTGGCTGACCTGGAACTTACTATATAACTCAGGCTGACCTTATACTCAAAGTCATCTTGCCTTAGTCCCTGAAAT